ACCTCTCTCATCTCAGACCTCTGTGCTGCCGATCTTCCCTACATTGCATCAGCCCCACCAAGACACCCTCTTCTCCCACCACCTGGCATGGCAGAGGCTCCTCATCCATTTGGGATCTGCTGCTCCATGTCCTGGTGTCCCAGGATGAGGACAGCTGCTACTGCAGCTGGAGAGCCCTGTCTTCTCCAGCCACCTACCTGGCTGGACACCATTTGGGAACGGTGCCTGTGTTCAGCATCCATGGGCATGAGACTCACTCTTCCCACTTTGCATCTGCTCTGGGGCTGGATCTGAAGTCAGGACAATTTTCACAAAACGGGAGAAATACCCCCAACTTCTAGAAATATTGTGGGATAAGTTGTTTTTCTCAGTTTGAATGCTTTGGGGAGACTTGAAAAGTTTGCAGAAGGGGGCAAAGCTGAGGAGGGGTCTCTCAAAGCCAACAGGTTCTTTACAAACAGCACATGCTCCCTGCCTCATGCCAGTTGCTATTAAATCAGGAGGAATTATCTACTTTGGGATAGTGGAAAGACGTTATTAAAATGGAGCTGAGCCACCCACTAAGGACTTTAAGCTTTCTGTGGTTTTGCCAAGTGACACATGAAACCTTCCCAGTGCTGATCTTGTCAACTCTTGTATGTAAGAGGAGGAAATTAGCTTTTCTGTCCATATTAATGGGCTGACACAGTTCAACAGCGATGTCAGGTCAGTTTAAATATCCTAAAAACCAGCCTGTTTTTCAGCCTAAGGCAAAATATTTCACAGGAAAAAAAAAAAAAAGATTATTCCCAATAATATTCAAGCCCCAGCAGGGTCCCTGACACACTTTTGGGGTATTTTCAGGCCCTTCCATCTGTCTCTGAGGCATTCTGATGCATCTCAGCATCCCTTTCTGCTGCAAGGCTGAGCTGAGCCCCCCCCCCCAGCACCAGGGCCGCCTGGTGACTGCTGCTCGGGGACAGTGGGTGACAACCGGGCGCTGGCATGTATTCAGCTCCGTTGCTGCCCTCTGCAGCTCCGGCAATGCCTGGCCACTATTTTGGGTGGGTTTTTTCATGCTGTGCCAGATGGGGTGGTGAGCCCCTTCCCCCACCTCAGCTCCCACAGCCCCAGCTCCACTGGTGGATGGTGCTTACAACCACATTCATCGCCCACCACCTCCCTGGGACACCCTCTCCGAGACACACCATCAGGACATCGGGGATGGGGAATTACGGCATGTACAATCCCTGCAATCCATGCCTGTACCCTCCCCCCCACCGGCAGCATCCCAAGCTCTGTATTACAGATGACAGCATTTTTTCCTACACTCAAACACAAAAGGACTTTATTGGAGATGGCCAAACCCACCGCAGAGGTGGTTGTGGGTGTCCCGGCTGTCTGCTCCCCCGCAGCGTGGGCATGCAGACCTAGCAGGGCACGGGGCAGCTCTCCAGCCTGGCACTGCCTGGGGTGGGTGCTGGATTCTTAATGAAATCCAGTGATTTAGGAATTATAATTAAGGATGGTCACCAGGAGCATCTGAAGGAAGCCAGACACTTGACCCAATGCTAAAAACCAAAATACTGCTTGCTGCAACTGTGATATTTTTTTTTCTTTTCTTTTTTATCTGAGGAAAACCCACCCACAAACTACACCGATGTTTGCAGGAGAAGGGAGGCACTGCCAGCCTCCTTGTGGGGCACACAATGGTGGAGGAGGTACACATGGTCTCACCTGCCGAAAAGCATTGGCACCATCATGCCGCAAACCACCATCTCAGCAACGTGACCCCCATCACCTTCTCCATCTCTCAGCGGGGTCCAGCCAGCCCCAAACTGACTCCGAAGCCAGGGCTGGGCACTGGGGCTTTGTTGGGTGGAAAAAAGGGCCCTGACGCTCCCCCTGCCACCTCCCCTGCACCCAAACTCACCCTTGTGATGCTGCACGAAGGGTGCCAGCCCCGGCACCCATGGGTGCTGGCAGAGCCCCTGGCCCCAGGGGTGGAGGCTCAGGGCAGCCCCCAGCCTGGGCAGAGGAGCCCCAGCACCAGGGCATCCTCCGAGCAGCGCAGGGAGGGTCGATGGAGCGGGGGCACCTCAGGGCTGGGAGCAGCGGAGCCAGATTTTCAGGCTCCTGCCTTTGAACTCAGGCAGCTCCAGGGCACCTCGCTGCATTTTGGGGCTCAGCACTCAGCCCCAGCTCTGCTTGGTGTCCCCGGCACGAGGGTCCCCAGGAGCCAGCCCCTCCTCGCAGCCAGACCCGGTGTCCTGGGGTGGGACTGTGAGGCCTCATGTTTAACAACCCCCCCATCGTGCCTCAGTTTCCCCACCTCCAGGGGCACTAGAAATGCTTCCCGTGTGTTCTCTCCCTGCTTTTTGGGCTGGCTGGGAGCGCCCTGCGAGCTCCCCTGCATCCCTAACTGTGCAAATAGTCAACTAAAAATGCTTTCCCAGTGCTTGGCCTCTGCAATGCTCCTCGGACCCTTCTCCCCCCTCGCTTGCTTTCCCCTGCAGCCTCGGTTGCTCTCTGAGGCCCTGCCTGCAGGAGATGTTCATGCAGGTAAAATCACCCCATTTACCCAACTTTACCCATCAACACTGAGCCGCATCCGGGCCAGCAGTGCACTGGCAGCACATTTCTGGTGATGGGGGATGCGCCAGGCACCGGCCCCATCCCTGCTCTGCTGCCTGGCTGAGCCTCTTAGCTGTTTATTTGCTTTTCAGTCTCTGGGTGACCTTTTTCCTCTGCCCGAAAAATTCAGCCCTCACAGGCGGCGAGTGAAGCCGTCCCGCCTCCCGCCCGCATGCCGCTGGCTCAGGTCTCACCCTGCTCCCAGGGTCAGGCTGTGAATCCACCCGCCGAGGCTGGATCTGGCAGATTTGGGTGTCTGCACAGAAGAAAATCCCAAATCTGGGGGGATACACAGTACAGGCAGGGACTCTGGCTGCGCGTTGGTCTGCAGAGGGATGAGGAGCTCAGAATGGGGACAGAAGACCTTGGCTTTCCCCATGCCTAGACCTGAAACACCAGCATAGCAGTTTGCCTCGCTCTTTCTGTCCCTCTCCTTCTATTAACCACCTAAATTTCTCCCCAGCTCACGAGTACCACGGCCTCTCTGCTGCCTCATCCATCAGTGTATGGTGGATGTGTCCACAGCCAGGGCTGGCGCTTACACACACCCATCTTGACCATTTTCTTCCCAGTTCCTTGCTGGGACTGGGAAAACAGAAAATACCTATTTACAGTGAGTAAGAGAGCAGAAAAGTGGAAAACAAGGAGTCGGACCACCCAAAAGTGGCTCATAATTCAAAAGCCTTTGGAAAACCCCTTGCACTGGGTGCTCCCCACCCCTGGGTGCTGCCCCACCATGGCACAGGCTCAGGATGCTTGCAGGACTTTGAATGAGCCTCACTGAATCCCCTGACTCCGGGAGCTGGGGATTTATGACAAACCCTAGGACAGAGGTCCTTGCCATGGAAATGCTGTGTGCATGAGAGCACCCTCCTCCAACCACTGACAACCCCATTCCCTCCCAAAATGTGTGCGGGGACGTGGTTTGGGGGGCTGCCCCACGCAGTGTTCTGTGCCTACAGCATCTCCCTGTGGGCAGGGGACCAGGTCCCACCATCCCTGGAGCCCCACCGTGTTTTGGTCCCTCTGTCCCTGCCGCAGCACAGGGATGGTGCAGAGCTCCGTTTGCGCAGGATTTGGATCTGGCTTCATCTGCGCCCCCCCCAGCTTGGACCCCCCACTTGTCTGCTCACAAGCAGGGGGGTTTCTCGGCAAATGAAGCTCTGAGGACCAGGAATGGCCGAGCAGGCTTCCTTGGGTGGAAAAACACCGAAATGCTTATTCTGCTGGAAAGAGCCAGCACGAGCCTGGCCCTGCACGGTGAGCGGGCTCCAGCCATGCCACCGTCCCTCCCCAAAGCCACCCCGGAGCCGCCCCGGCACAGGGATGGGACTCCGTGGGCCCCAGGCTGGGACCGGCTGCCACAGCCCGTGGGGACGGGGCGCCGCGCTCCCTGATTCCCACGCAGCCGGGCAATCTCCAGGAGGATCTGCAGCGCCTGCGGCCGCGGGGCTGGGGCTCAGGCTCCGGCTTGTGGAGCACGGTGGCTCGGGGCGCTGGCGTCTGCGCTGCCTGTCGGGGCAGAGCCACCCCTTCCCCTGCCTGCCGTCCCTGCCTGCAAAGCCAGGCAGCGCCGCTGCCGGGTCGCCTGCCCGCAAACCACCGTGGGAATCCCTGGGGACATGGGCACAGTGGGATGGGTGACCGGAGAGCCTTGGGGTGGCAGCGGGGGGCTTTGGACCCTGACTGCGGGACGCTGGCAGATTTAGGGGGATGCCAACGACCGGCGAAGCTCTGCGCAGGATTTGTGCTCTCCCATACCTGGTGGGGTCCCACAAATCAAAGCAACACCAGGGTAAGCAGCAGAAGGTCCTGTTTGGGGACAATTTTGGTACAGGGAATCAGGGTCCCAATTGCCTACCCCAGCGTCCCCCATTAGCCCAAGGACAGCCGAGGGCAGGACAGTGTCCAGCAGCACAGCCATGTCACCACACCATCCGGGTATGGTGCCCAGAGGGGTCCCTGCTGCAGCAGCAGCTCTCCAGCCCCTTCAACGTGGGGGCTCAGGGGGAGCCCTGTCCCCGGCCATATCCATCTGTCCCAGAGTCACTGGCATTCGGGCAGAGCTCATTGTCACACTGCTTCCTTCGGGCTCAACCTCATCTGTTCCATCCCCTGTCCCGCAGGAGAGGCCCGGGGGTCCCCACCAGTCCACCAATGTCCTGGCCATGTCAGACGAAGGATGGTGAGCCCCCAGGCGGGGATATCCCCTCCTGCCATGTCCGGAGCCCCGGGTGGTGACCCTGACTGGGTCCTTTGCCCCATCGTGCCAAGGGGATGTGGCTCCTGCAGTGCTTCTGTCCAGCCTCAGGATGGGGGGAGCCAGCGCCCGCACTGGCCTCCCCAGGGCCACCGTCCCTGTCCCCGGGCCACAGACAGCAGTGGCCTCACTTGCCTGCAGGGATCCCGTTCTCCCCACCACCCGCTGAGCCGAGGGCCAGCTCCATCCTGCTCTTCGGGTGCTGCGCGTTCGCAGGCTGTCCCACCGGGGCTGCGTCGAACTGCACCACTGCGGAGAGAAGGCGCTTGTTACTCGCCCGGCACTGGGACGCGGGGCACGATCCAGCCCTGAGGGGAGCTGGGGAGCGGAGCCAGCCACGGTCCTCACCGCCATCCCACATGCAAGACAGCAAAGAGCCCCATGTCCCTCAGGGCCAACCCAGAGAGAGGGAGGTTGTTAGATAGCCCCTCTCCAGGGATGCGAGGAGGTGAAACCCAGCGGGGTTTGTGAAGGCCAGAGCCCAGCCGGTGCATGGGGAGAGGGGACCACCACCCTGCAGACCCATCCCCACCCATGGGAGTCCCTCTGCAATTCCCATGGGGAAGCCGAACCACTCAGAGATGGGACCCGGCGGCTGGGGACCTCATCCTCCAGAGGGTTCCTGCACCCCGTCCCATGGCACAGAGAGGGTCTGGTACCTGCTCGGCAGCTGTGCCGGGCGCGGACGACCTGGATCGCCTGCTGGTTCTTGAAGCGGACGAGGCCCATGGTGATCTCGGCGTTCCAGCCTGGGTCCTCCTGGGCGCAGCGGAAGTCGATCTCGTGGCTGTCGTCCATCACCACCGTGAAGTAGATGTGCCGCTCCTTCCACTCCACGCACTCCA